GCTTATGAACAGCAATGATACAGTGTTAACTGGGTTACCGCTGTAAACAAAGCAGCGCTTATGAACAGCAATGATACAGTGTTTCCTGGGTTACCGCTGTAAACAAAGCAGCGCTTATGAACAGCAATGATACAGTGTTTCCTGGGTTACCGCTGTAAACAAAGCAGCGCTTATGAACAGCAATGATACAGTGTTTCCTGGGTTACCGCTGTAAACAAAGCAGCGCTTATGAACAGCAATGATACAGTGTTTCCTGGGAAAAGAAAATACCATCTAAACATTTCTAAAGACAGTTCCTCTCAGAGATAAATTCATATAAACTCCTACTCCAATTGTATAGCGATTTGTTTGGCATCTCAACCGATTTGAATCGTCACATATTTTAATCGATTTTTGACCGGCTCGCGGTTAATCGTTACATCCCTACCGCCGATGGATCATCAGCTTTCTGACAGACAGGCAACAGCTAGTGAGACTGGGGAAGCAGCTGCACCATCAGCACTGGCGCTCCTCAGGGTTCTGTCCTCTCCCCACTGCTCTTCTCCCTCTACACCAACAACTGCACCTTTACTGACCCCTCTGTCAAGCTCCTGAAGTTTGCAGACGACACCACACTCATCGGCCTCATCCAGGATGCTGATGAGTCTGCTTATAGAAGCGAGGTTGAGCAGCTGGCTGTCTGGTGCAGTCACAACAACCTGGAGCTGAACACACTCAAAACAGTGGAGATGATCGTGGACTTCAGGAGAAACCCCCCTGCACTCCCCACTCACCATCATGAACAGCACTGGAGTCATTCAGGTTCAGCAGCTGAGGACGCTCAACCTGCCACAGGAGCTGCTCACACAGTTCTAAACAGCCATCACTGAGTCTGTCCTGTGCACTTCAATAACCGTCTGGTTTGGCTCAGCTACAAAATCAAACATCAGAAGACCACAGAGGACAGTTCGGACTGCTGAGAGGATTATTGGTACCCTTCAAGAACTGTATACATCCAGAGTGAGGAAAAGGGCTCAGAAGGGCTGTCCGGTGTTACAGAGCCCCGAACAGCAGGACAGGAGGACAGGCAAAAGAACAGTTTCTTCCCCCAGGCAATCTACCTCATAAACAGTTAAATGTTCTCCCCTACTGTTCAATAAAAAGATGTGCAATACCACTTTTATTTACTTAATACTACCCTACATCTTCTTCCATTCCTTGTAAATTCTATTCTACTCCATCTATATACCACAACTGTACATACAAAACGTGTAGACAAAATAGATAACATAAATAAATAGACAAAAATACATATGTCTATTTTGTTCATATATCATTATTATATGTGTGTTGTTGTTGTCTCTGTGTACTGAAGCTTCTGTCACCAGAACAAATTCCTTGTATGTGCATTGTGCAAACACACTTGGCAATAAAGCTCTCTCTGATTCTGATTTGTCTTTTCACGTTTTATTCTACAGCACAAAATATATCAGTAATAACCCTTTGTGTTTTTTTCAAAGTTTTTACTTGTTTCAAAAATGCGGTTACTAACAAGTGGCTAAATAGAACTACAGAGGTATTATACTTCATCACACCGAACACAGACTCACTAGTCTCTTTCACAGCCTCATTGTGTTTAAAATCATTCTCCTGCAAACCATTCAAACTCAAAAACTAGGCTATATTTGTTCTTATTGAGTTTATATTCTATTCATTTATATCTCTTTAATTATGGCAATTGTATTTAGGCTTCAAAATTCATAAAAGTTGTGAAATGCTTAAGAATAATACATGTTTGTTGGTCACAGCTTATTGTGTTTTTGTCGAGGGAATCAAGGTGATGCAAACTGGCCAACATCATCACTGCAGCACTATACCAACACAACATAACAGTAACAACTAGGGCTGGGCGATATAGCTAAAACATGTATCAACGATATAATGTTTCATATCGTTCGGTATCGATAATTATTGACCTTTTTTAAAACAAAGAGCAATAGAACATTTTTTTTACATTTAACCACTGTATTTTTAATACATAATAAATATTTTTTGTTTTAACAGTCAAACACAAAATAAAAATTAAACAATAAACAAATATCTTGTTTCTAATGTTTTTATATGCAGACTAAATAGGTTAAACTTTTGTCTTGTCTCCCGAGGCCACAGGAGGGCGCAATGAGCAAAATAATGCAGCACATTATCAACGCAAGGAAATAACTGTCTATAAAAAAACATGCATTATGTCTAAATTAACTCATATAAATCAAATATAATTTCGTAAATTGCATAAACAAAACATGAATTTATGCATGGCTTAATCCAAAGAGCCGAAGCGCCATTCACACAGACTGCATTTAAAAACATATGAGACGCAGTGAAAAGGAATAAACCTCCACAAATTTGTGACGTGTTTTCTAAAAGTTTAAACTGTTTTAACTTTGCAAGGATTTCTATACATCTCTTCTGTGTCTAAAAAATGCGCTGAATATGCATTCTGTGTGAATGGCTTGGTTTCGGTTTTAACCTTCCTCGCATTGAGCTACTATATTTCTCTAATATTTTGAATGAATAACGCAGCAGCGGCGCGTCTCATGGGCTAGACTAACAAAACATTAAACTACAACGTCACTTACATCATCACCGCATCTCATGCTCCACTGATGCGCACCTAACATTCATTGTAATATTTTTGCCTTAAAATAATAAAATTTGAATAATATTCTTTTTTTTATTCACAATCTCATCACAGGCAGGCACAGCACTCATGTTCGTGTTTGTGTGTGCTGTCTGCGTCATTCTATGAAGCACTGCACAATACAATTTACAAACTAATGACTATAAGTAATTAAATTTTTTTGGAGATTATCACAAAATATTCTACACACACATATTCATATCCTAAGTATCTCAATCACAGTCAGTGGGTGATTGCTATGAATAGTGTATTTTTTTTCACTAAGAATTTGACTATCAAACAATTTTTGACAAATGAAGCTGCGATTACACACTTGTAGTTTCTGCAGAACTATACATCACATGGCAGCTCTGTTTGAAAGGTTTATATTGTTTTATTTCTGGAACCGTACTGCTGTGCTCTGTGTCACATCTGTTCCAACAATGGACTGAAATCAGCTTTGGCTTACCTTCGGGCTCAAGTCAAGGTTTTCTTTGGAGGCAGTGAATATCCATTTTTTATCTGGCGATGAGCGGAGGAGGTTTAAACTGAAGGAGTCGCACACCACATGCCTCGAGACCTCAGACAGCACAGGGCAAGTCAAGACCACCAGAGACCCTAGAACAGTTCCAACCTAAAAAAGTAAAAGATTTTCACTTAGGCCTGCAGCACATACTACTGATTCATTGTGCAATAACTACACATTTAGCAAAGAAGTCTGTTTATGCATTACAGCCTACCATGAGAAAAGAGCTGTCTTTGCTGTTGAATGACAGCAGTGTGGTCTTAGAGGATCCAGACTGGAAGCAGGCCACCTCCTCTCCAGTCGCAGCCTTCCAGGTTTTGATTGTTCCTGTGTTATCAGAACTAATAACAACCGACTGCACCGGATCAACTGTGATGTCCTGCATGGGGCTCTGAGCAGGACTTGACCATAAATTAACACCCTGCATGGAATATCAAATAAGATCATAGATGAATGCGTTTTTTGATTTTGGGGTGAAATATGCCTCAGGCATTTCTTGAGATCCAGATTCATTCCTGAACACTTTTAGGTCTCTGCCACATGAAAGAGAAAGCCTGTGGTACCTTGTGAATGTCCCATGCTTTGACTGTGCCGTCCGTAGATGCACTGCAGACCACTGGTGTCTGCTTCCAAACATCTGAGCAGCCGTCGTTTCCAACCAGGTATTCAAAACCAACAACCCTGCCTGTGCAATCACAGAAAGACTCATAAAGACAAAATCAACGGAGCAGACTTTCAATATTTATTTACACCAGCATTATAGCTATATGTTTGCTGAGCTCTTGAGGATGAGATCACTTGCCTTTATGGCCTCGTAGGCTTTTGCACGTGTAGTCCGCACAGGACCTGCCTGTTTTCATCTTCATCTCCAGGTGAGAGCGGCGCAGGTAATAAGCCTTCCACGAGTGTGTTCCCGTGTCCGAGAGCAGCTGCGAAACATTGCAGAAACTCCATTTCTGCAGACACATTCTCCTACACAAGGATATGTTCTTAAGTGTCTCATCAGAAAATAACGGTGTAAAGCACAAGGTATAAAGTGATCATCAGCCTTTCAGCATTTTGCCCGTACAGATAATTATCTTTAGTGACTTACCTCCACAACCATGGAGTCTCTGCAGCATGATACCATTCCTAAACAAAAAGTGTATTTTCATGTATTTTGTAGTGGGGTCCAAAAGTCTGTCCACTAGTGAAAATGCTTCTATTTTTCTCAAAAAATACATAAATATATTATAAATAAATGAATACATACATATAGGACTACATGATAACCTTCGCATCACTGTGTCCAGAATGACTGCGCAATTATAATAAAGCTGATCTAAAGTATAAGTATGTTTATTTTACACATTTATCATTTTTCAAATTATTTCAAATTTCTTACATATTAATTAGAATAAATAAAAATGATATATATCGGCTTTATATCGGCCACCCTGCGCTCTAAGATATCGGCATCGGTTGTCAAAAGAAAAACAATATCGGTCGACCACTACAAAAACTAAACAAACACATATGCAAACTGTTTAAAAATATTTTGTTTAAAGGTCCACATAAAAAGTAGATTGTTCTCACTGTGCAGGGTTAAATTATTTGTGCGAAAGTTTTAATTTAGAACTAAAAATATACTGAGTGCACCTTTAAGCAGCGGACAGCTCGTGTGGCTGAACATGTGCCTCGTACACTTCGAAGCTCGAACCCAGCCCAAAACTGCATCTGTAGCTGCTTCATCAGTAGCTGCTACTGCTTCATCAGTAGCTGCTGCTTCTGTAGCTGCTACTGCTTCATCAGAAGCTGCTTCATCAGTAGCAGCTACTGATGAAGGAGCTTCTGGTGAAACAGCAACTGATGAAGCAGCTACTGATGAAGGAGCTTCTGGTGAAACAGCAACTGATGAAGCAGCTACTGATGAAGGAGCTTCTGGTGAAACAGCAACTGATGAAGCAGCTACTGATGAAGGAGCTTCTGGTGAAACAGCAACTGATGAAGCAGCTACTGATGAAGGAGCTTCTGGTGAAACAGCAACTGATGAAGCAGCTACTGATGAAGGAGCTTCTGGTGAAACAGCAACTGATGAAGCAGCTACTGATGAAGGAGCTTCTGGTGAAACAGCAACTGATGAAGCAGCTACTGATGAAGGAGCTTCTGGTGAAACAGCAACTGATGAAGCAGCTACTGATGAAGGAGCTTCTGGTGAAACAGCAACTGATGAAGCAGCTACTGATGAAGGAGCTTCTGGTGAAACAGCAACTGATGAAGCAGCTACTGATGAAGGAGCTTCTGGTGAAACAGCAACTGATGAAGCAGCTACTGATGAAGCAGTAGCAGCTACTGATGAAGCAGTAGCAGCTACAGAAGCATCAGTAGCTGCTGCTTCTGTAGCTGCTACTGCTTCATCTGTAGCTACTTCATCAGTAACTGCTTCATCAGAAGCTGCTTCATCAGTAGCTGCTACTGCTTCATCAGAAGCTGCTTCATCAGTAGCTGCTGCTTCTGTAGCTGCTACTGCTTCATCAGTAGCTGCTTCATCAGTAGCTGCTGCTTCTGTAGCTGCTGCTGCTTCATCAGTAGCTGCTTCATCAGTAGCTGCTGCTTCTGTAGCTGCTGCTGCTTCATCTGTAGCTGCTTCATCAGTAGCTGCTACTTCTGTAGCTGCTGCTGCTTCATCTGTAGCTGCAGAGCTGCACTGTTCTAGAAGCGGCTGGTTCAGAATTGGGGCCGACGCCTACTTATATGAATCCTCATTCAGTGTGGCTTACCTTACAGACGGTGGATGCTCTGATTAAATCTTCATCATGAAGAAGTGAGAAGACACTGATCAGACAGTCCAGAGGTAAACTTTGGCGCATCTCCATTTCTACAGTTCTCACAGTCCTGCCACTGCACTGTCGCCGACCTGCTACTTTCAGTTTCGTGCGTGGGGACGTCGTGGTGACGCATTCTACGGAACAACGTCAGGGACACACATCACGTTGACTGTAAACGTAGATATTATTGTGAGCACGCATATCTATGATTGTGAGCGTGTTTAACATAAAATACTGATTGCGCAATAATTTCATCATTTTGTAAAGTCTCGAAATATTAAACCTACTGAAATGTCATTAAAGTATCTCAATTTAATCAATGACAAAAAATTACTAAAGTCTAGTACACAGTCTACTGTACGTTAACCGTATTCGGTGTTGAACATTTATTATGTTATTGTCATTATTTGTATCAACTTTAAAATAATCAAACGGTGTGTTTAAAGTAAAACACTGTACAGTGCTGCGATTAAAGAAAATAAAGGATACGAGATATGTAGCGGAGTTCATCATTCAAAGCAGAAATAGTGGACTATGGTGCCTTCGAAAGGATAAGAGGTCAAGTTTCCGGAACTGTCCTCGTCTTCAGCAGAGTGGCGCAGCGGAAGCGTGCTGGGCCCATAACCCAGAGGTCGATGGATCGAAACCATCCTCTGCTAAGCATTGATTTTATTTATCCTGTAAGACGGGTGCTTATTGAACGTCTCGGAAAATCGACATGAAGGCTCACAAAGAGCAAATGTCAAGTAAAGGTGTAATCGTTTTTAACAAGTTGATAGAAAAATAACTGTAAATTAAAGCATAAAAATTGTATAGGCCTGCACCAAAATAGTTTGTAAACACCAAAGACCAGGGGCGTCATGCACTCATTATTTTTGAGGGGGCACGGGCACATAAAAATAAATTTATTTATTTTTTCCTGTTTATTCGAAACATTCCCAAATGCATTAACTATACCATGAAATATCTTGATTCTCACCTTTATATATTATGTTGATCTATAGTGAGCGATGGTCAAAGTAACCTAATAATGTAGTCTATTAACTAGGCATAAAATCCTGTCTGTTTACTTAATTAACAGATGCATAACATATTTTTAATACGAATGACTTTATATTTAATGTGAATGTAACACTGAAAGTTAATGGGAATAAAAACAAGTTAGGCTACTAATCATAACACTTTCATTGTACAGAAAGAGAGCAAAGAACATTTTCACTGACAGTCTAGCATTCTCAAAAACTCCCAGTAAAAGCACTGAAGCTGTTTACACTGTGACATTAATATCTTACAGGTTCGTACACACATTTGCACTTTGTTGTTTCTAATGAGAGAATTCGCCAGAAAGAGGTATTCAGTCAGAGAGCGGGTGAAGCAAACACGGCATTTAGCGATGACTCACCTGATCGCCTCTGATTGGCCATTGCACTCATAAGCTCAACAGCATGGTGTGTGATTGGTTACTGCGCAGTGCAGTGAGACGCAAACGCGTCTGTCTCCGGCTCAGCGCCAGCAGCGAGCGCAGGTTTGAATGTAGCAGCTGATGATGATGTGACGCGCTGAACGTTCTAATCACGCCGGGTGTGATTGTATTAAATATAGAAAATATTACTTGGCTATTTTTGGTCTTTTGGAAGCTGCATTCAAAATCCACTTGGCTCAAAATCACTGTGAATGGGCATGATGCCTCTGCCAGAGACGTGCTGGAAGAGATGAAGGGACTAGCCAGAGATGTTCAAGTCCATTGCCCCCGCAATTAAGTAACAAATAAGTAAAATGATAGCTTGCATAAGTAAAATGATAGCATTAATACCTTAAATATTCTGAATTTAATTCCATTTTATTTAATTTTCCCTGAAACCATAACATTACAAAGCCATGTGATTGTGAACTGTAGACCTAAACATGATCAGTTATTGGCTGGTTGAGTAGACTGACAGTACAAGCAGCCTGTTCAACAGCAGACCATCTGTGAGGTGACTCCACTAATATACACCATGCTCAAGCCAATAAAACAGATAATGTACACTGAACAAAATTATAAACGCAACACTTTTGCTTTTGCCCCCATTTTTCACGAGCTGAACTCAAAGATCTAAGACTTTTTCTATGTACACAAAAGGTCTCTCAAATATTGTTCACAAATCTGTCTAAATCTGTGTTAGTGAGCACTTCTCCTTTGCCGAGATAATCCATCCACCTCACAGGTGTGGCATATCAAAATGCTGATTAGGCAGCATGATTATTGCACAGGTGTGCCTTAGGCTGGCCACAATAAAAGGCCACTCTAAAATGTGCAGTTTTACTGTATTGGGGGGTCCGAAAACCAGTCAGTATCTGCTGTGACCACCATTTGCCTCACGCAGTGCAACACATCTCCTTCGCATAGAGTTGATCAGGTTGTTGATTGTGGCCTGTGGAATGTTGGTCCACTCCTCTTCAATGGCTGTACGAAGTTGCTGGATATTGGCAGGAACTGGAACACGCTGTCGTATACGCCGATCCAGAGCATCCCAAACATGCTCCGCATGGTGACATGTCCGGTGAGTATGCTGGCCATGCAAGAACTGGGATGTTTTCAGCTTCCAGGAATTGTGTACAGATCCTTGCAACATGGGGCCGTGCATTATCATGCTGCAACATGAGGTGATGGTCGTGGATGAATGGCACAACAATGGGCCTCAGGATCTCGTCACGGTATCTCTGTGCATTCAAAATGCCATCAATAAAATGCACCTGTGTTCGTTGTCCATAACATACGCCTGCCCATACCATAACCCCACCGCCACCATGGGCCACTCGATCCACAACGTTGACATCAGCAAACCGCTCACCTACACGACGCCATACACGCTGTCTGCCATCTGCCCTGTACAGTGAAAACCGGGATTCATCCGTGAAGAGAACACCTCTCCAAAGTGCCAGATGCGTTTGCTCACTCAAGTCTGTTACGATGACAAACTGCAGTCAGGTCGAGACCCCGATGAGGACGACAGGCATGCAGATGAGGTTCCCTGAGATGGTTTCTGACAGTTTGTGCAGAAATTCTTTGGTTATGCAAACCGATTGTTGCAGCAGCTGTCCGGGTGGCTGGTCTCAGACAATCTTGGAGGTGAAGATGCTGGATGTGGAGGTCCTGGGCTGGTGTGGTTACACGTGGTCTGCGGTTGTGAGGCCGGTTGGATGTACTGCCAAATTCTCTGAAACGCCTTTGGAGACGGCTTATGGTAGAGAAATGAACATTCAATTCATAGGCAACAGTTCTGGTGGACATTCCTGCAGTCAGCATGCCAATTGCACGCTCCCTCAAAACTTGCGACATCTGTGGCATTGTGCTGTGTGATAAAACTGCACATTTTAGAGTGGCCTTTTATTGTGGCCAGCCTAAGGCACACCTGTGCAATAATCATGTTGTCTAATCAGCATCTTGATATGCCACACCTGTGAGGTGGATGGATTATCTCGGCAAAGGAGAAGTGCTCACTAACACAGATTTAGTCAGATTTGTGAACAATATTTGAGAGAAATAGGCCTTTCGTGTACATAGAAAAAGTCTTAGATCTTTGAGTTCAGCTCATGAAAAATGGGGGCAAAAACAAAAGAGTTGCATTTATAATTTTGTTCAGTGTAGATTTCTACTTTTCAAGAAGAAAAGTAGCTATTTAAGAGTATACTTACTCTTAAAATGATGAAGAAAATCTCCTTATTTTGTTAATGATAATGTTACATAAAATATAACATTTTACAAAAGAGTGTCAGTATCAGAGAAATCTTTGACCATGCACACAGCTCTCCAGACATCCCCTCACTATTACTGCAGTGACCGTCAAGTTAGTGTGCGGCTGACTGGAGCACAGAGTACAGTAATGAAAAGACATCTTGTCTTGAATGGTGCCCAACAGGAAAGACACTCAACTGAAGCTGAGCTGAGGAAAACTAATTATTTGCTAAGTGACAATATGTGCTCTCTTACTGTGAAATTATATAGGGACAATACAAACTTTACAGTCACAGATTTCATCTGACCAACATTTATATATATTTTTAGCTGTCTTTTTGCCAATTTTGAAAAGGATTTTTTAAAACTACAGCTATAAACAGTTAAACAATATTTGATCATAATAATGATGATACATAATAGTACATCTATTTATACTATTTCTCTACAAAAGATTTTAGAACTTTCTGATATTTAGCCATTCTGTGAAAGCTAGATAGTTAATGTCAACAATGGCTCTCTGGGCAAAAATGTGGGAGAATTGACCATAACTAAGACAATCAACCTTTTTAAAGCATACAGACAAGTTGCGTTTTCACAAATCTGGCACTCGAGATATTGATTAAGCCAGTAGGGGGAGTGATTGCGAAAGGTTTTTAGAATTGATGAACAATACTGCTAATGTAAGCTGCTATAAATTAAAGAATGAGTTTTTAAGATTGGGAGTTGTGCCTTTCTCAGGAGTATAGAGAATAAACGGACAGACATCCGACTCTCAGGTCTTTTCTCAAATCTGAAGCACCTGTAGTTTACCTTCCAGGCTTCTACAACACTCCTAAACCACATCAAAATACGCCTGACAGCTGCCTGGTTATTCCTAGTTTATCATCAAGAACGCCACCTGGACACTTAACAGTACTTTACAGAAAACTAACACAGATTTAACTTTAAAAAAAAAAGTTGAACACAGGTTTTGATACAGTCATATTTGCTTATTCTACATTTTATGTGCACTTTGAAAGCAAGTGTCACTTCTAAACTCAGCTTAACAATTCACATTGATTCACTGATACAAATGTGCAAAATCCCCTGTAATGTTGAGACATGTTAAGGAGTGCTTTAACTGATTATTAAACTAACTGCTATCTGCATGACGGGCTGTGTCTAATGGTTTGTTGTTATTAATAGTGCATGTGAATAAAAGCAGACACACGACTTCTGTGATGCATATGAGATTGTATGGGTGGGCTCAGCGGCCCTTAAGAACACGCCCAGATATATAAAGTAGAGGAGGAGGATGAAGGGTCAGATCTGCTCTACCTGTGCGCTATGCGCGCTCGACACGAGCTGGACACACCTTGACGGTGGATCTACATATGCGGCCAAAAGTGTCTTTGCTGGAAAACCTGGTTATTTCAAACGGACTTTAATTGCTGATAGACTGACCATTCCATTTGAAAGCTCCGTTTCTCGTTACCTTGGAGCGAAACGAGACAGGGCCATCATGAGCAGAAGATCACGACGCTGGATATTTCACATTTTCCTTTGTCTCGGAATAATCTACTTGAAAATGGGGTGAGCTGTGGGAAAAGCACACAAATGCACTATTAATGTTGTTAGACTAATTAATGCTGCCTGGTGTCTTTTCTGCATTAGACGAACCTACTGCTCTGTATATTTGTCTACTTTTCCAGTTGCAGCAGAAGTTAATTTCATGGATATTTTACCGCAATTATAGCGCGACAAAGTAAAATAAATCGTTTTTATTCAGTGAGAAAGGCACTTTTTTGGAGTATAAGCCGTTTAAATAATGATGCTTTCCAAAGGCACTGAAGGATCTGCTGCGCACTTCGCAGGGATCTTTGGAAACATCCCATGGACAGCCACTGGACGCCTTCGGTGCGCTCGCGCGGGGTGTCCGCTGGTCATGACTGCGGCGGAGGCTGTTGTGCAATATTAGCTCTTTATCTTTTTGGTATCCAATATTCGTTTGATCAGCAACCAAATGTTAAAAATGAAGACGTTCTTCTCTGATCAATTGCAGGGGATTCTCCACCGTGCTGGCGCTGGGAGCGAGCATCATATGCAGCAAGATCCCGGGACTGGCGCCCAGGCAGCGCATCATCTGTCAGAGCCGGCCGGACGCGCTCATCGTGATCGGGCAGGGCGCGCAGATGGGCATCAACGAGTGCCAGTTCCAGTTCAAGCACGGCCGCTGGAACTGCTCCGCGCTCGGCGAGAGGACCGTCTTCGGAAAAGAGCTGAGAGTGGGTATGTTGGAAGTCTCCTCTCGTATGTCTAAAACAGCATTTGGGGGAATCTGGAAAGTAGTGTTGCTTAGTATAGGCTCAGAGGGAAGTGTTTCCTAATCTGGTTACGGATTATACAGTTTGTTTAAGTTTGGGTAAAACAGTAACCTCCTTTACTAGTCCCAGTTCATAGGCAACGTTATAAAGATCGACCGGTTCAAGTTTTCAAGATTTCCGTGCCACATGCCTGAAATGTCTGGCAGATGAGATACATGAGCGTGTTTCTTCCCTGCGGTCATGTATGCGCTCCAAAACATCTCAGAAACCAGTCATTAAAGATGGGAATATATATATATATATATATATATATATATATATATATAAAGCTTAAATAAAAGATATAGGTTCAGCAAACAACCCTCTTCTAGTAGAGAATATTTTGGAGAACCATCTTTAATTGCTGTATAGTTCTTTGGAGATGAAAAGCTCTTGCGGTTTTTGCAGTATTTAGGTTTCATAGTCCCTTAAAGCACCAGCAGATGGTTCTTGTTGAACCTTTATTTTTAAGAGTATGGCCCCTCTTTTCTGACTGAAAGCCATCTCAGAGTTTGGTATTAACATGGTTTATGCATGTATCAGTGTTTGGTATTTGCAGCCTGAAGAGTTTTGATAAGATGTTACCTGAGACAAACGGACTTTTACTTTGTCAATCCAACCGGTTTAAGAATAAGGCACAGCTGCTGTATCAGAAAAGTTCATGAGGTCTAAACTCAATCTGAGGAAAGTTAACAGAGACAAATCTGGGTAAAGAAACACGAGTGTACTGGTGAATATATGTATGCTCCTAATATTGTGTTTAGTGTCTGAGAGACACTTCAAATGACTCAATAAACAGACCATTCTTGTAGCACACTTAGACTCATACATCTTTACTTTTCATAATCTTATGAGAACGTACTAAATTCGTTTGTAAACAATTTGCAAAACAACTTAACTAGCTTCAAAAGTCCAGGATGAAAATGTTACAGTAGTTCTGTATGAAAGCTCAGATATAAAACATAAACATAAAAACATAAAACCAATGAATTTTCACAAGTTTTTCTGATTGACTGATTGGTGTATAATGTGATGTGCGCTTGCAATAATAAAGCAGTGTTATTTGATTAAATTACAGCCACATTTCTGAATACTGCTTGTCTACCGGGTGATACAAGAGTGGGTTAAAGGGTAACTTTACTATAAAATCCCATTAGTTAACTTTAGTTAACGCATTACCTGACATTAACTAACAACAAGAAATAATTTGTTACCATATTTATTCATTTTTCTTAATGTTAATAACAATACAGCTGTTCATTGTTAGTTCAGGTTAGCTCAGGTCTGTTAAATAGAATCAACAGATACCATTTTTAATTTGAATAATGCAGTAATAGATGTTGAAATGAACATGATCTAAGATTAATAAATGCTTTGGAAGTATTTTTCATTGTTAGTTCATGGTAGCTGATGTAGTCAATGTTGGAAAATGTTAACGGTTAAAGTTAAAATAATATACATTATGTTTCTTGATTCAACATTTTGAAGGAAAAAGAACAGACTGTCTCAACACAACATGAGAGAAATCACATTTTTGACTATATGTTTATTTATCTGTATTGTGTTAACATGGATGACAGCTCTAATTTACAGTTTGAGTTAATGCCGATTAAGCAAATACAGTGGTGTCTGTCAGTGATTTATGGAGAAGCTTTGAGTGATAACCTCAGGAAGTGTAGTTCATTCGTTTCTTCACAGACGAAGCAGATCATCTCATGAACAGCTAACTTGGCAATAAACGTCTAATACACAACACTATTTATACATTTATTTATTTAACACCTCTTTTTACATTTCCTTGCATTTGTACATAACACACCTGCACACACAAATACCGTCTGTTGTCTACTTTGTATATTGCATATTGCATATTGTGTATTTTTTATTTTTTTGTAAATTGTTATTTCTGATTTACTTATCCTATTTTTATTCTTTTTATTATCTGTGTCTTGTCTTGTCACTGTGATTCTGTTTGTGCTGTGGAAGCTTCTGTCACCAAAACAAATTCCTCGTATCCTCGTAAACATACCTGGCAATAAAGCTCTTTCTGATTCTGATTCTGATTTTTATTCTGATTCTGATTCTAGATCATTAGTTCTTTCCTTTCAGCTCATTCATAGAGCATCACTTGTTCCCCCAGGGCTATTTTGCCTAACAAATGTTCTTTTTTTGTAACACATTCAAAATACTACCTACCTATGATTTTTTTTTTTACAAAAAGTACAGACTTATTATACTGACTACAAAATCGTCGGCACATAACTATTTTGTAAACACATATGCATTAGTGGTCAAAGAGATTTGGACATCGATCTGACGTGATGCATGTCAGCAGTTCATTTGTTCAATGTACTTTATTTTAAAATGTGTATTTTGAGTTTCTAACCACATTAAATGATTCACTAATGCAGATATTTGATGCTTTATTTGAAGTACTTGATTTGCATCCATTACTGTGATTGTCGTAATATACAGTGCTATGATGTTATAAAGTCTGTGTTCTCTCTCTGTGTTCACAGGCAGTAAAGAGGCTGCGTTCACGTACGCCATCATCGCAGCAGGAGTGGCTCATGCCATCACAGCTGCCTGCACGCAGGGAAACCTCAGCGACTGCAGCTGTGACAAAGACAAGCAGGGCTTCCACGGTCATGCCGACGGCTGGAAATGGGGCGGCTGCTCGGCAGACATCCACCACGGCCTGGGCTTCTCCAAAGTCTTTATGGACGCCAGAGAGATCAAACACAGCGCCAGGACGCTTATGAATCTGCATAACAACGAAGTAGGGCGAAAGGTATGTGTTCAATTATACAAGCAATGTATTGGCTTGGCTTTGTATGTTTCCTGTAAATAAAGACAGTCAGACATCTTCAGTTTCGAGCGCTTCCTTTTAGGGAACAGCTGACCCAACCCAATCTCATGGAAAACTATTTTACCAGGTGAATATGTTGTAAGAATCCGAACAATTCACAATGGTACGACTTTTAGAAAAACAGTAAGCATGAAGATCCACCCCTAAACATAACCGTCACTGAGGCATTGGTATATTTTACCAAAACGTATGAATGAGATAGCCACCAATTCACCAAAATGTAAAACAGTTATGAATTGCCTTGTTGGTTAACTCAAAAATGAAACATTTACTTACTCTTGTGTTGTGCTGTATGACTTTCTTTCTTTTGTGGAACACAAAAGGAGTTTTGTTTTGTTTTTCCATACACCAAGAGCATACGGTGACTAGTGACCAAAAAGGACAAAAACACCATAAATATTTTTAAAGTAGTCCATACTTGCATCTGGATTCATGCGATATAGCTAACAGACATGGGGCCAGACTTACTAACAGCTTGTACCAGTGCAAACCCACTTCTGACTAAACAACTACTGTCAGGATTTCCTAAAGACATGCAGTGAAACACTAGCAGTGAGAAGGCACGGACACATGCTGCATGCTTATACTATGCCCTAAAAGTATGCACTTTTGTTGTGAAGAAAAAGCACATACTTTTGAGTGTGTAGTAGAAAAGTAGGCAAGCTTTGGGACAAACGTTCATGTCATACAATTGCATTTGTGTTGTGCTGTATGACTTTCTTTCTTTTGTGGAACACAAAAGGAGTTTTGTTTTGTTTTTCCATACACCAAGAGCATACGGTGACTAGTGACCAAAAAGGACAAAAACACCATAAATATTTTAAAAGTAGTCCATACTTGCATCTGGATTCATGCGATATAGCTAACAGACATGGGGCCAGACTTACTAACAGCTTGTACCAGTGCAAACCCACTTCTGACTAAACAACTACTGTCAGGATTTCCTAAAGACATGCAGTGAAACACTAGCAGTGAGAAGGCACGGACACATGCTGCATGCTTATACTACGCCCTAAAAGTATGCACTTTTGTTGTGAAGAAAAAGCACATACTTTTGAGTGTGTAGTAGAAAAGTAGGCAAGCTTTGGGACAAACGTTCATGTCATACAATTGCATCTCTGACACATAGTTATGTTAAACTGGCCTGTCAATTATCTTGTCAAAGTTCACATCTTCCACATTTCATTTCATTTAACTTCCGACCGTATAGAAGAGAAAACAAGTAGCACGTTGATCTGCCGAACACTGTGGGTCTTTCATGCAGAGAACTCTGCTCATATTTTTTTTGCATAATGATGCATTTAAAAGTTAATGACCAAAAAGATGTTTGTCAACAGTCAACATTGTTGTTGCAGATTAAATATAACACAGATAAGATTAAATAGATGTTTTTTTACCAGGTTAAATGTTGATTAGTGGACCATTTTCCAGTAGAGAAGTCAGAAAACCAAGATGGACGCGTCCATTGTTAGCAATACCAGTCGATTAAAAACACATAAAAAGCAGTATTTTGCACAGATAACACCATAGTATCATGTTGGATAGTACTGTGTGCACCACTGAGACACAGACAAACATAAGTGCTAATAAATATATTACTACTGTTTCTCTTCTGTTGATGCACTGAGCAGCCACATTGGATTCTGAAGTTGGAGTTGTTGTGATTCCACCGACATCCCGAGTCGGAACTCCAACTTGGGAGGGCGTTCCAGTTAAAAGTTCCTACTGGGAACTTGGAATTTCCAACTTCCATGTACAAATGGAACGCAGCATTAGTAACTCAAACCCCTTTATCTAAACCTGTCTACTAGCCACCATATTTGTAGTTTTTTTAAAATGCTTTTTATTTGTCTTTGTAGTTCTGAACCGAATCCTTTGCCAATGCACAATGGATTGTGGCCATCAGAGTGTGCACAGATCCACACTTCAAAAATCTACCTGAAAGAGTAGGCCATCTTTGGACTTTTGGCATACTGTTTTCAACATACTCTGCTTTAGGACACACTTATTCTAATCTCACATACTATTTAGGATGGATAATATGCACATTGGGAAGCAAGGACAGTTATTTTAATGGCTGACCTTATTACGTATGCATTTGTTGTTTATGCATATTCGAGCTTGGTGTGTCATGTTCAGCAATGAGACACATGATATTTGGCCATGCCTGGTCGTGTCAAGTCTGAAAGTGAGCATGTGGGTGAGTAAATGACCAAATTTTCATTTTTGGGTGAAGTATTCCTTTAAGAGGTATTATCTATCAGTGAAGTGATGTTTTGGTTACACTGAACGGATCAAGTGAAAGTCAAGTACAGGGAAGGATTCAGTAACTATGGCACTGCGGTTTGCAGCCGTCAACAATCCGGCACCGAAGCCAAGACTCGACTGGTGCAGCAATAATAGGAAGCTTTTAGAGGTAAGAGCAGAATAAGTGCTAGAGTTTGATTACAAATCAGATGAGCTCCAACACACCGAGCTCTGTGCAAATCCACTCCCATTTTCTGCTCAGTTTAATAGACATTGGATTACACCAGTATCCCCTATCGCTAGCTTTGATGGAAACATTTCATCTTTGATGCTGTGTTTATGTTTCAACTTTCAGTGCTCAAACCGCCGAAGATCCTAAAAGGCTTTTTCACTTTCACCTGCATTTAGAGGCCATGCTTTTTTCTGCGTATACATTTGTACGTTGTCTTTGATGTGGAATAAGTGATACAGTCCCTTAGGAAAAAGAAGTGTGCTTAAATGTATTGAATGTGCACTTGTAGTGTATATATATATATACATACAGTGTATATATACTGTATATATGTACATATATATATACAGTATATATATTTTTATTTAGTAAATATTATATTACCTGCAAATACAGTTTATATATATATATATATATATATATATATATATATATATATATATATATATATATATATATATATATAAACTGTATTTGCAGGTAATATAATATTTACTAAATAAAAGGCCACTACATTTTCATGACTATGTGTCTTAATGCACTTACTGTAAGTACAAAAAAAGTGTGCTTTGTAATAATGTCAAATTAACAGTTTTTCTTTAAGCTACATTTTAAGTTGAATGTTTTAAGAATCTTTTCCCATGCTTTAGCAAACTATGCTTATTTTGATATGTTGACTAGCATACTAAAGCACATGTAAAGTACTTGATTATTAGTTTAACTGTAGTTTGTTATTCACTATTACATTTAAAGTTAATGTATTTTAAATCTAATAAATCACTACAAATATGTATAATTAAATACAAATATTGTTTAACTAATACAGGACATACATGTTTCAATTACTGCTTCTCAGTACAATCGACAGTACATTTTAACCATATAAACCTAAATTTAACTAATTGCATGTAATATATATTTAAATATAATGCATTGTCACTTAATTGTAAATAACATGCAATCAAGTGTCCGAAAACATTACATTCAGTTCACACTTAATTATATTTATTTAAGGTATATGATTTCTGTACTAATCGTTCTTTTTAAAGGTGCTAAAGTGTATTTCTTTTTCACAATTTACAATTTGGTGTTTATGTAAATGAAAGAGCAAGTTGCATGATCTTTTGTCATGAGTTAAAGGAATAGTTCACCCAAAAGTACTCATTATGAAGCATGCTCTATATTTCAAGGCTTCTGAGGCTTATGGCACAGTTTAGACGTCAGTGTAGTCAAACATCATTGCTGCTTGAATGCCTCCTGACCAAACATCATTAACCTCAAATCTGTCGAATACTATTAGACATAAATTCCCTTTATCATCTAAGCAAGTCCCCAACAGGTCTGTCAGCTAAAGAGAGAGCCGAATAATCACAAGTTTAATGAGGGCTAAAGAAGCTTCCATCTTATGTCTGGCTTGTTCCACGTTTGGTCACAGAGAGCTGATTCGTGGCACCAACACCTCCACGCTGACATTGTGCAGCCAGCAGAAGGAGCCTTTTCTGTAGGCCGCGCTCATCCTCATACCATCTTATCTGAACAGCTAAACTGCCTCTTAGTGAACTGACTTACAGGATCATTCTAGCTGCAGGTTTTGTCTTGAACAAACTAAAAGAGGGCTCTGTTTGACTGTTCCCCTCCCTTTCTTAATTCATGCCAGCTATTGTAATGACGCTGGCTCATGGTGCCCATCTCTGAAGAACAGATAGCGGAAGGTCTTGGTGTTAGTCGCTGAGCTGATTTAGATTGGTGCCATTGTTGTTGGTATGTTGTGGGGGAAAATAACATTGTGTGCAATGACAAAACAGTTCTTGTACATTTGTTTTTTTAATGTGACGTCATGGAATGAGAAGATACTTCAGGGGCCAGTCTGTGACTTAGGAATTAGTTTGACTAACTAGTTGTTAACTAAGTTTTCCTTTTCAGATTCAAATGAGACCAGTTTACCTTTTTATGTACGTAATTTAAAAAAGTTGTGACCAGTCTTGAAGAGAAAAATTAGATTACTAATTTTAAGAGTAGTCTAAGCAGCTCATGCACAGATATCAGTTTGTGAATTCAAGCTTTGCTTTTGTTATTGCTTATACAGGGTTCATGATTTAAACAAGTAACATAAATATTAAACTAAGTAAGTAAGCTGTGGGCATGAAATAATCTTAGCCTTTTTTATCATGCAGATTTCCTCGCACTACATGTGGTAAAAATAATCAGAACACTTTTGCACCCGAATAAACCCCCCGAAAACCAACAACAGCACTGTGATAGCCAATTCTAGTTGTCCTTTTCCACGTTCTTTATGCAAATATGATGGTGTATCAACATATAATTGAGGATTTGTCACCTGCTTAAAGGCTGGAATACACTACATGACTTTTCACTAGAAGATGCATGATAGATGAAAACAGCATGTGTTCTGAGACCACCTCAAAATATCAAACATTTTTGATATCCTCTGACCAAATGGATTCAGAGTGCGAGCTATAAAATTGGGTAACACTTTATTTTGATAGTCCACTTTAGACATTCTACTAACTACACTGTAAAAAATGACCGTGAATTTAACGGTAAAAGACATTAAAAATGCTACAGTAAAAACCTGTTAAAAGGTTAAGGGTAAATTCCCCTACTATATACGGTGAAAAACTGTATTGGACATTAATAATTTACAGTGAATAACCGTTAATTGAATTCCCTGTGTTACATTTCAGATTTCAGTTTTTTTTGTTGTTGAAATAACTATGTTTCTATGTTTTTTCTTATCAGTTTTGTATATTAGGGTTGTATGTTACATCTAATGTTGGTAAATGAATGTTTATTGCATTATTTCAGTTTCATGTGTGTTACGATGATGGTGTTTAATGTTTGTGTGAATGACACTGTGCAGCTTCTATATATATTAATGTTTAAAAGCTGCTTGTGATGGGCTCTGGTTCATCATGTGACTTTCTCATCCCCATCTGCATTTGGTGGTTATCAGTGTATTACAAAGCTACAAAACAGAAAAAGGTTTCAGTACTTCAATGGGCTGGTATATTAACATTATATTAGTTAATGAAATTATGGTATTTAACGGTAAATATAAGTTAAAACCGTAAAACCTGAAATGTTGCTACCGTATTTTTTACGGTAAAATTCCGGCAACCACAGCTGCCGTTTTTTATACTGTAAATTTTACGGAATTTTGATTTTACAGTGTATGAGTAACTTTGCAACTACATCTCAACTAACTTTCATTAGAGTATTAGTAGACTGTTGGGTTACAGTTAGTAGAATAAGTTAACATTGCAAAGTTACTTACAGTCAGTAGAATGTGTGTTGTGGAGCATCAACATAATGTGTTAGCAGATATTAAGCAGATAGTCTTCTAATACTGTAATAACTGCTAGTCGACATGTAGTAGCAAAGTTATTTATAGTTAGCAGACTATCTAAAATGGACTATCAAAATAAAGTGAATATTGCTGTCTGTGCCAGTTACAGACTACGTGATGTTCTGTGAAACTGGTCAATTCTGAACGATCAAAATCTGCAGTCTGGCCTCTGATTCCTGCAGATTGTAAATTGGGCCAAAGTCATGCAGTGTAAGCCAGTCTTAAGTTCAAAGCAAACCTTTTCAGTCTGAACGTGAAATGACATTGCAAGCACAATGCCTTCCTCACAAAGAAGTACAATTTTGATGCATACTATTATATTATATTCCTGCTGCTGTGCTGGTCTCAGGTCCTGGAGAGGAGCATGCGGCTGGAGTGTAAATGCCACGGTGTGTCTGGATCCTGCACCACCAGAACCTGCTGGATGACCCTCCCAAAGTTTCGCGAGCTCGGCTACATCCTCAAAGACAAATACAGCCACGCCGTCCACGTGGAGCCAGTCAAAGCCACGCGGCACAAGCGGCCCACTTTCCTCAAGATCAAAAAGCCCTACTCGTACCGCAAGCCCATGGACACGGATCTGGTGTACATCGAGAAATCGCCCAGCTACTGCGAGGCGGACCCCGTGACGGGCAGCGTGGGCACTCAGGGCCGGGTGTGCAATAAGACACTGGTGCACCATCCCAACGGCTGCGAGCTGATGTGCTGCGGCCGCGGATACAACACACACCAGTATTCACGCGTCTGGCAGTGCCACTGCAAGTTCTTCTGGTGCTGCTACGTCAAATGCAACACTTGCAGCGAGAGGACAGAGGTGTACACATGCAAATGAGCGATGCTTATGCTTTTTGAGAGGGCCTTTCATCCTGACATTACTGTAAAAGATGACTTAATCAGGTGGCATTTGTTCTTTTGCACAAGACCTTACTACAGATATGCTTCCTTCACTTTAATGGAAGAACATAAAGATTTGTCTGGAGAAAGAATTGTGTGAGACGGAACGTGGAACTAAAAAGTGTAAACTACTGTACTTTTGATGCCACAGAGTTTTCTCCTCTTTCTTCACTAAATCTAGAGCGTTACTCCAGTCTGCAGGATCCTGAAACTGTCTGGATTAAAATAAGGCTCTCTTGTCTTTTACCTGCTGTTAAACCCATTACAACTGCACCTTGATTTAACCAGCGGAGCTACTGGGTCATGGACGTCTTGCAGGCATGCAGTGAAGCTTACAGCGATATTAACAAATAGATCAAAACAGCATGGTTCCAGAAGTAAGTTGAGATTTTAATTTGATTTCTAAAGAAAATTCCTAAAGAGAAAATGAACGGGGAAGTACTCCTGGAACCAAGGTTGCTGAAAATATGCACGATCACTGTCGTACTCTGTTGTGAAATTCTTCCAAACTGATTTTATTTATTTATTAAAAAACAATGTTGTTAACTGTAATTAATGAGACACTGGAAAGTGGATCTGCATCCCTTTATGAATACACTGAGATTTTGTATCTTCTGAAAGTATAGCTTTTTTAGTTTACATAATGCATTGTTAAAAAAACAAGCAATATTTTTTTCTATGAGAAATTTCCTGTATGCTGCTAGTCTGGAATAATCACATTTGCTGTAATATTAAGAAACTACTGACCACAAGCTTTTTGTAACTGGTATAGTGATAAATCCAGATGTAGAATTCACACTGAAAATATTGTTAAGAGAGTATATTTTGTGAAAGAATATTTTTATATGAATGTTTTATTTATACTTTACCATTTCTGAAAGCCACTCCGTTTGCATTATGCAGTCATTTTAATTTGTGGGTGACAAAGTTGGAATGTGGATGTTAATTATTAAAATCAAACTTAGATCTCATGCAACCATGGCTTATGTTGTTAGTAGTGTTTGATAGTGGCAAGCAACACTATTACTCGTGTTCTTACCTAGATTTAGTGATTTGAACAAACCCATAACTTTGTGCAGCTGACATGAATGATTCTTAAAGTCATGCAGCTTGATGAGTAGAGGTGTGCTGTTTCTAAGTGATGGTGGGCGAAACATGGGACCTGAACCATATCTAGAGACCAGAACATTACAGACAGGACAGCAGAGAGTTGTGCAGCATCTCCCAACACCTCAGCACTTAAGCACTTAAAACTTCAGCAAACACAAATCACATAAAACACCCTAACGTCGCACAACACAAGCTGATAAGACCATCCCCGCTCACGTTTCCTTCAGAATATGTTGTTTTTGTTTGTAGTGTTAGTGTACCTCATAAAGCTCATTCTGATGTGTGATGCTGCCACAGTTTGTCTTGTTAAAGTATTCAGGCTGAATAAACATTGCACCACAGTAATACCCACAAATGCTTGGTTTTGGGCAGTAATTCCAGCTCCGCGTGTAATTGATGAGTGCAGTGAGTGTTATGGTGATGACTTGCTCAAGGGGGCGGAGCTGGAGTTGCCAGGTGATTGATGACTCTGACATTTCTTTCATTCAGACCTTTGCTACTAGTTGCTAAACAACTCCATTGACTGCTGCGCAATGTCAGCCAGTCACGCAGGCTAAGTCAGCTTGCCCATTAACGCTTACACGTGATAGCATTTAGCTTTCTCAAAAACATACACACAGAAGAACTGGTAACTACTCTCAAGATCATAGTGAATTAAGTCAGCAGAGAAGTGTAGAGGTCCTGTCATCGAAACTCGAGCTTCTGTTGGTTTTTGTGTCGTAGCAATTGCCAAAGAGTAGTAAAAATGATCACTTAGATCGCAATTAAATTCTCAGCTGTTTGTGTACATAAACATCACGTTTTCACTGCCAAAGCGTGTGAGACATCGGCTATGCTGATAACATAAGGCCACTTTTGTTTAATATAATACTGTAGTATTTTATATCGCATACTGCATTTTCTAACAGAATTCCACTTGTGTTTATTGGAAGTCACTTGTTGATATCAAGTACAATCAGAGTATAGAAATATAAAATGAATATGGATAGCATAGCTCATAGATCTTTTGATTTTGGGTGAATTTAATAAGAAATTGTGAAAACTCTCAGACTGCAGACTCTGTGGGTTTGCAAACTGCATGGATGCTGACTCACTGAGACATATCAGTTTGAGACAAAGTTGAGATGAAGTTTTTTAATATGCTGCCGCATATTCTAGAGCATTCTGTGAGATTGATGCGGTACATTCTCCGATCATTGAACCACAGGGACAAAAGTCAGAGCTGAACTTTAAACAGATATATGCTTTTCCACAGTGCTTGATCCTGCTTTACACAGTCCTTGCTGATTATAATGAACAGTAAATGTTGATCGGACCATTTTTCACTCAAATTGAGGGTAAAAACCACAAAGATAATAATAACAGCAGTGATTGCATGTAGTGAAGAGAGGGCAGAAGCGTGTGTTTTGCACCCGCTGCCTGTCTATAAATCACCCAACACATAATTGCATCAGTCATCCGTTTGTTTTTCATCTGGTTGAGACATGCACACGCACCTAGAGGAGCGCTGTGGATCGCAAGGCAGTCTTTCTCTGGTCTTCATACATGTGCTTGTAGAATAAGTTGAATAAGTGTGTGTTTGACTTCTGAAGGAAATAATGTCACTGGAATTGTTCAACAGCAACACTTCTGCGTCCTCTGTGTTATGGAATATGTTTTGTTATGGGATATGAAATGTTGTTTTTGACAGCTTCTCTTTGTATTGTAACCTTTCCAAAAGGTTCAAAGCTTCAGAAACCCCACAGGGAACATTACTAGACGCTTAGATTAGACTTGTAAAGTTGCAGCTCTGCGGCGAGCAAAGCTGATATTGTTGAGAAAGAAGAAAGCTTCCCCTTTAGGTGTGTATTTCGCAACACTGTTTGAGATATGAGGAGATGGATTTGTGAGTGAACTTAAGTAACAACTGCCTTTGAAGATCATGCGTGAATTCTTGTTCTGGGATTCGTATAAATTGTAGAGTCCCATATGATACTTTTCATCTTTCGCTGTGTGGTTGGGTGTGGGGTATGTTGGTCCCTCATGCGCTCCTCCACCTTTAATGTTATCTGAGAAACGATTACTGCAAACCTCACATGTCTGGAGTATCTCCGTGTGGAAAACTCAAATGATCCCATTTTCTCTTTGAGTGTGAATTCCTGACACAAACCCCACGTTAACTTTGAGGAAGCCATGCTGCTTATTGCACAAAGCAGACACAGTTGTTCTTATTTGATTGAGTGCACGATGAAAAAAGACAATGTAACCTACAATGTTGTAACGAATCAGCTCATGACAGGAAATATGAATAATTAACCATAACTAGTTATGATTAATTATGAATATTTTAGATCCGCTGTAGATATTTAGCTGACCTCTCAGGGTCAACTGTCTTGTCAATTCTAAGAACGTTAATTTCCTGGTTAAGGGAAATAACTTTCTTACTGTACAATTCTACAAAAGCTTGTAGCGTAAATCTGCATGATTAGTGACTCCGGTTATGAGCAAACAATGAACACGTCAAGTGTGATACAAGTAAGGTTTTATTAACTACATAAACACTTAAACTAGTCCAACATACTACATAAACTCATAAACTGGTCTAACATACACATACACACACACACACACACACATACAGTTGGTATAGGAAAGGGTTAAAGTTTAGCTCAGTACAGAAAGAGACATAAGGAATGACATTTATGGAACCATTTGCATATTCAACAGATCTAAGCCTGAGTGATACGTCATATTCTGATTTCAAACACACCTTTGTAAAAAGGTGTAACTGATACTTAATGTATCAATTAATAAGACTAAGTTTGATACTTGCGAGTCTCGGCTGTCTGAAAGAGATTCCTGATGCAATCTTAAGGCCCAAGATCTTGCTGAAATTAGTTGATGAAAAGAACCAGTTTGAGTCAGAGAATCTTTGGTGAATGGAAAAGTCAAGGCCGAAAGGCCTGGCACCATGCTTTGGTATCCTGCAGCGTTTTCTCACATCTTCATCTGCATCTGACCGAACCACCGACATGGGCGGGTCACATGAAGTGTGGCCTTTAAAGCCTGCAGAGATTCACACCTCTCAAGATGGGCTTGTCCAATGAGGAAGGCTGAAATCCCAAGCGGGAGGTTGGAAATACTGGGGAGTTTTATGACTCTTTGTCTCTAAGCATGGTATTTCGCCTTCATGTAAGAGCATCTAAATTAAATGCAACTGGTTTTATTCAAGTCAAAAATATTAGCTTATATGACTGATTCAACCTGCTACATAGGGTTACACCAATAAAAATCTTTAATTAAGGGTCTGATGAGGCAGAAGAGCTGCAAATCTCCACTTTTTACGGTGTATAAATCAGCTCAACTCAAGTTGTTCTCCATGTCTTTTAGAATCGATATCTTTATGATGCAAATGACTGCTGATCTCCAGGCTGGCGTATTAGTGCTGGCAAATGGTGATGACGAGTCTTCCTCTTTGAAGCTGCTGTATGTCTTTCATGTCCTCTGGCTTAATGAGCACATGTGCAGATAAACAGTGTTGTGACAACAGCACCACGTCTCAGTCCAGATCACTGTTGGTGAATTAAAGACATGTTTACTGTATCAACAGTGCTTTAATATACAGGAAAACATGGACTGTCTTGTTTGACTTTTTGTCTCACAAAACTGAGTCAGTCTATGAATGTGTTTGGTAGCATTGATTGCACTTATAGCTACTATGGCAAATTATTTCTGAGCTACAAAGATAATGATCACAGTATATTTTAATTTGTCCTGCATGCTAGATTGCTAATGGAATTTATGGCATAAATTGGGACTAAAAGATCCTAATGGGATCAAATAAGAATAATCGTAAGGATATCTCAAGATCGATCCTATGCCAGGGCTCTTTAACTCTGCTTCTTCTGTGTACATTTTAACTCCAATCCTGAACAAACTTATCAGATTAATAGATATTAACAGCTGAATTCAGCTTCATATAGGAGCACTACTCACTTCCACAGTATGTCCTTCATTAATAAATGTTGTAAAACTCAGAAAGCATTTCATATATATGGTTCAGATATACAAAGGAAACAACTCACTATCTCTATGCAAATGATTGCTGTTGTATACCATGATTTGATTTAAAAAAATCTGATTTAGATATTTAAACATTGATGTTTTTGAATCAATAGATTCATTTATGTTTTTTTATTTGCATATATAATCTCTGTTACAACAAAGTATTACAACAAGTTTCAACCATCAGTCAATGCCCTGATAGTATATATATATATTGTAAGAGTATATTGATATTGTAAGTTTTTCCAGTAGTACATTTTTGTCAGCAAACAGAAGAAAACAAACAACACAGGTAAATGACAGTCTCACGGAGCTTTATTAGAGGTTTCAGGAGAGGAGCAAGGTGAGATAATGAGCTGATAATCTTGAGCTGAACAGCTTGTGTCTGATCCGGTGTGCTGAGCTGAAGACAGATGATTGCTGTCGACTGGAGTGGGTCTGATGAACAGGTAAGCAGAGACGGTAAGCTGATGCACGCAGGTAAACAACAAGACCAGACACTGAGGTGGTGATGGGAAGGTGGCTTTATACTGTGACTGACAGGTGAAGTGCATCTGAATTCTGGT